AGCTGTGTTTGTTATGGCAGAAGGCAGTGATAACGCATACATGTCAACACATTCTTTATGCAGCCTATTAGCGACAGATGATCTTTCAGCCAGAAGCAGAGAGTCAAGTGGCTCAACAGGATTAAAACAACAGTCAAATTGCTCATCTGAAAAAAGTGGTGGGTTCATATATAGCCAGTGCCATAAGGAGGCAGCACAGACCAGATTTTTAAGAAGCAAATGTGTGGTTCAGGAAAAGTTTGATTAATTATTAAGAGAATAATTACTAAGTGCAGCAAACAGCGCTACATTGAATGAGACTGTTTATTCTTGAGACCAGGTGCTAATGCCTGGCTCCTAAGCACAATGCACAGATTATTACAAGCAGTGTTTTTTTTTTTGCGATGGTACTGCACATTACTGGCACCTCCAGACGCAGTACCAGCACCTCTAGTCAGAGCTCAACACCTTTTCCCCTGGAGTACCAGCACCTTTTTTTTTTAACAAAAAAAGCACTGATTACAAGATAAATATTACATTCTGGAAGATAATTTTTATTCTGCTTCTTCCAAAATCATAACACTCCACAATATCTTCCTATCCCCATCACAAAACTATTCAGCTCAATTATAGCAATAAATCCGAGAGAAGGGAAACATGATATATTGTTATTCTTAGAGTGGAAAGTCTTAGGAAAGTGAGCAGTTATTGGTTTGGTCCAGGCATACTGCAATAGGGGTTGTACAAAATTCCACACATGGCTTTGCTGTAGTTGGTGGATCCTGATCCTGGCATTTCTGCTATTCCAATCTAGATCCTCTCGAGAGCAGATTGCCCATCAAATCATACTGTGTTGAGCACTGGCAATTAATAGTATTTGTTGATCTCTGATGGAAATACACACATAGTATAATAAAATGAATTTGAGATGGGCACTTAAACATTAACCCTGTAATCTTTTGCTAGAATCAGTCAGCTGACTGTGTTGATTTGACTGTATCAGGGATAGGGAACCTTTTTTTGGGTCGGGGGCTACTAACCAACAAAAAAAAAATCATTCAGGGGCTGCACACAAGTGAGGAACAAAAACCCCACCCCTCACCAGCATGAACTCCCCAGTGTTGGGGGGGATTCCAGCCTCGGGCTGGATCCAGGCAAGCTGGGGGCTGCATCTTAGGTTCCCCACCCCAGGACTATATAAATGTTGATATTGTTAGGGCAGTGGTTCTCAAGTTTTTCCACTTGAGGAGCCCTTAAAATTCCTTTCCCGTGTACCTAGGTTCTAGCGTGTGCCCCTTCCATGTAAGAATATGATAAGAGAATATGATAAGGGTGGCTGGCCATGACCCCCAGGTTGAGAAATAAAAACAAGCTGATGATAAAACTGTTTTTGCAAATAACAGGTTTATTCCTACTCTCACTCATTTCAATGGGAATAAAATTAGATCCTAACATTGCGAAATCATGTCTGAGTGCAGTCATTCATTGTTTATTTATTTTGATATTTTGATAGGATAGTTTGTCCCTTAAGGTTGTGTTTCTCCAAACAATCTATGGACCCACTCTGAGAAAGCTGTTACTGGGCCACTCTGGTTTGTTTACTTACCGGTTCTGTAGCCACAGTGCCTCGCAGCTCCCATTGGTGGTGGTTCACTGTTTGCGGCCAAGGGGAGCCACATGACCCAGGACAAGCAGCCAATAGGAGATGCTGCGTGCCTGTGGAGCTGGTAAGTAAACAAACCGGAGCGCCCAGTAGCTGCTCTCAGAGTGGGTCTACATATGACTTTGAGAAACACTGCCTTAAGTGTTTCTTATCCCCTCATCATAACTCCGGTCATCTGAAGAAGAGGGCTGTGCCCACGAAAACTCATGATACCATCTACATGTTTTGTTAGTCTATAAAGTGCTACCAGACCTTTTGCTTGCGTTTCTTTTCTGTAACAGCCTAACTTAGGGTATGTCTAGACTACATGCCTCTGGTGACAGAGACATGTAGATTAGGCTACCCGACAGAGTAAAATGAAGCGGCGATTTAAATAATCGCCGCTTCATTTAAATTTACATGGCTGCCGCGTTGAGCCGACAAACAGCTGATCAGCTGTTTGTCGGCTCAGCGCGATAGTCTGGACGCTCCCCTGCCGACATCAAAGGGAGTTGTCGACAACCCAGGTATGCCTCATCCCAGGATGTCGCCAGAGGCATGTAGTCTAGACGTACCCCTAGCTACCTCCTGAAGCTACAGCCTTAAGAGTAATGCTGACTAAGGGTCAACCCACCCTGGTATGTGGGATGACCATGAAAAGGGTCAAAGGTGTGTGCGTGCGTGCACACACACGAGAAGAGACGGTCCCGGGATGTCCCTGGGATGAAATTCTGTCATGATTTCTTTTCTGCCAGCATGCTGGCAGTGGGAGCAGTCCTCCAAGACAAGCTGGGAAAAGGTGACCAACACAAAGGCTGCCTCCTCACTCATCATTGCAGAGTACACACCAATAGAGAAACTGCTAGGCAGCCTGCTCAGGGAGAAGGGGCCAGCTGAGGGAGAAGTTGGCAAAGGCCTGACTGCTGACAAAAACACAACTCAGCTCCAGAGAGAAGTGATAGCCCCTTAAGGAGGACTATTGAAGGAACAGAACCTGGACACTGTATGTGAAGCAAGCAGGAAAGTTTATTACACACACAGCGCTGTCAGAGTGTCACGTCGCTTGTTAGGGGTCAGTGAACACTGCCAAACAATAGGTTACAACTAATTATATAGGATGCTCAATGGGCAGATCAAAGTGATGTGGGGAGGGGTAAGATCCTGGACCCTTGGATAGGTGCTAATTGTGAGGCAAAATAAGAGCAATAATATAAAGTTACATAATGTTTCCAGTAAAACAAGTATTTAAACAAAGCAGACATCAATTATCAATTATGTGTTAAGTGGTAATATGTCTGTCAGCTTCAAGAAGGTATCTCTGCAGGATGTGGTCCATCTGGGGATTAAATCTGAGACACCAAAGATAAAATAGGGGTTCTTAACAGAATATCAAAGCCTGCCTCAGACATTTTTATCCTATAACCATGAAATCTGATAAACAGCATCAGAACAGAGAGCTGAAGAGACTTCTGCGTGAGGAGACAGTGAGGGGACTAATAATACTATAGTCCAATTCCAGACAGGAGAGCAGAAGAGTCCTGCCAAAGGAAAGACTAGAAGGCATAACCCAGAGAAGGAAGTGAGAAGGGTTCCAGAAATAGAGCTTTTTTATAGGCACAGGAAAGAAGAGTCTCTTGAAGAAAGGAGCTAGACTCAGCATGTTGAATTAAGGTAAAGTTGAGGAATGGCCCTGGGTGTAGCTAATTTATGTTGATGGCTCTTGAGTTTTGCTAATAAATAAGACCCTTGGAAAAGGAGTTCTCTTTGATTAAAAGCAACTATTTGGCCTTGTTTATAAGCTGGGTGAAAGGAGGTGAGGTTGGGCTCACTGAGGGGCTAGCTCCATCTGACTAAAAAAGGGTGAACTGGGATAACCTGGATGCTATCACAAATACATATGAAACACACACTGCTCATGAGAGATATAACTGTAGGTTCTCTAAAGTTTGTTTTCCCCAAAATACCTCACAATAGGTGTAGTGTTGGATTCTCATTGGTATGGTACAGATTGGGGGGTAAACAATTATACCTGTTTATATTTTCCTCCTGCAGCATTTGGCAGCCTCACTTATAGGATCTGATGGACAATGTGTTTTTTTCCTCCTGAGTAAGGCTGTGATGCTGCAAAGAGGCTTGCATGGGCAGATACTGCACCCTGTTGGAGACCCCATGATTTGACTGTAAGCCCTTCACTTCAGTAGAGGCTCTGTATGGGTGCAGGAGTTTTCTTATGCTGAATTCATTGTTGTACTGAGGCTTAACCATTATAATACTCAGGAGCAAATCCAGATGCATATTGACAAAGGGCTACAGTAATAGCAAACCTTCAGTGAGACATACCCTTTTACTAGCACTTAGCTTTATACCTTTGTATGTGAACTGGTAAAATATTTTCCCAATCAACCTATATATAAAAACATACTACATTTGAAGCAGAAAGTTTGAAGGTTCAGTTTTTTTAGTTCTGTATTGAACAAGCCAGCATATATGTTTTCTTGAGAGATGAACACACCCACCCAAAACCAAGCCGTGCAAAATGACACTGCATCTCCCCTCTTCTCATTATACCTCCCTTCTTTCCCTTTTGTCTTCTCATATCTCAGCATCTGCACTGATTTTAGTAAAATGTGGGCTGCTGGGCAAAACTCCAGGATCTATCATGCCTTGTTGACTCTATTTTAAGAGGGATAAGGGATCTTTTGGAAAAGGCTTTATTTTCCGCAAGATCCGCGTCTAGACTGGTGCTTTTTTCCAGCAAAGCTCCGTGCCGAAAAAAAGCGGCAGCCATTTTTATGCTAATGAAGCAGGGGAGATTTAAATCCCCGCTTCATTAGTAATTGCGATACGTCTAATTTGCATCCCTTTTACGAAAAAGGGATGCAATCTAGACGTAGCCAGAGAGTGAAATTCCTACAACTGATTTCAGTGAGTTCAGGATCCCATGAGGCTAGGATCCTTATTGGCTGGTTTCTCATTCAAAAGCCAAAATCCTAATAAAAATAATTCATTGATATAAATTTATTTTTTTAGAAATGTCAACCAAAACCTAGAGTGAGCTTTAATACACTGCATAATCATGCTGTTAAGGATAAACTTTTCACAGTGAATTGATTTACATCAAGGCTTTTTAAATCATTAATTGTTTGGTAATTGTGACATTGTAAGGAGCGTGGGAGGAGTAATAGAGTACATGTAATGCTAAGTGACTTACCTTTTCATTTCCTTGCTTTGTGTAGTTTTGCATCAGCTATGTTAACGGTGTAGAAAAATTAATAGCTTGACAACAAAGGGTTTTTGTATGTTAATAGTGAAATGTACAATTGTAAAATGCAAAAAGTATGAATCATTTATTATACATTCTGATCCCTACATCTGCCCTTTTTGTAGCCAGTCTATCAAATCCAGTTGCTCATTCAAATTGCAAAACAGATGACAGGCATAGGGAAACAGGACAGTGCTTTGCTTGGGAAAAACAAATACATTTGGGGCCAGAGAACGGCATGGTCAGATCCTTTCAGAAGTCTAACTTTTGTGCAGACCACACTCTTGACTTGGGAGGTCTCTTGGTATCTATAAGGGCTGAAATCACAGGTCCTGAAGGCTCCTTTGAAAAACTGAGATGGGGCTGGGTAGTAGGGGCATGACAGAGGCCTCCTCTTCGCACAGCAACGAAACTTTGGGTTGGGGGCGTGTCCCACTCCTCCCGCCCTGCCAGACAGGTTGGGCAGAACAGCTCGGGGCGCTGTTCCCGGGATCTTTGGGCATAGATCCAATGGCTAATCTGCCACTGACCTCCACGTGGTCCCCCGCCCGCACGAGAACTCGCCTGCTGGCCGCAGCGTGCCCTGTAGGGTTAAGCGCGGCCGGGCCGGGCCCGCAGGGGCGGGTGAGCCCAGGGTTCCTGACTCGCTCTGCCCGGGCCTGTTTGGCCATGGGGAGGGGAGCGGCGTGTGCGCCCTCAGGCTGCTCGGGGGCATTTGACCGCCGCTCGCCCGCGTCGTGGCGCATCGCGCAGCAGCGCCCGGCTCTGCAGCCCGCATGTCCCAGGAGAGGCCGCCCGCCCCGCTGGGGCACCTCAGCGAGCTGCCCGACAGCTCCCCGCTGGTGGGAGCCGCCGTGGCGGAGCTGCGGCGCCGAGCCGAGGCTGACCGCGGCCAGGACTGGCCGCTCGCGCTCACCGACTCCTTCCTGCTCAGGTTCCTGCGCGCCCGGGACTTCGACCTGGCCCTGGCTTGGAAGGTGGGGCCCGGCTCCGCGCTGCGCGTCCCACCGCCGCCCTCGGAGGCTGGTGCGGGGAGCGGGAAGGGACGTGTCCCGGGTGTGAGGAGAGCAGCGCCGGACGCCCGGACAGTGTCTGCAGCGTCTGGTCCAAGCTCTTGGTCGGTCGGTCGGTCGGTCTGTCTGTCTGTCAGAGCAGGGGCTGATCCCCAGCGGGGAAAGGGTGAGCGAGCTCGTCACACCGCGCACCCGCATCGTATGGGCGCGCAGTTGGGTTGCGGGGAAAATAGAGCTTTAGCCCTGCTCCTACCAAGAGCTCAGTGTGGCAGGTTCCTGTGCTCCCAGGGAACCATGCTGAAGTCAATGAGACGACTCCCAGTGTAGGTCCCAGGGACTGGTCTCGGTGCTGTAATAACTGAGTCAAGGAAATGGCTGTAGGATGTAGTAGGGATTGGACTTGGAGCAGTTGGTTTGGTAAGTAAACCACGTTCTTTAACTATTCAAAGCCACACTGGGATGCCCACCTCGAAAATGATGCCATGGAAGTGCACGCTATTAACTTTCTGCAGTCTTACTTCTGTTACATTTGCAGTACAGGTTTAGATGCCCTAAGGTCAGGAAGTGAAACAATTAAAGGATGCTCCTAGTATTAAAAATCACATTCTTCTCTTACAAGTAACAGTTGGAGTTACTATAACTCAAAGAGATTAGGAAAAGTATTTTCCTGTGTTGCTGAGTTTGTTCATTTAGTGCATTTGAATTCAGTATGTAGTGAATTTCACCATTTTCCTGTTTATGTGGTAATTATTTACAAAGTTTTTAAAAAACGGGTAAAAAGTTAAAACCATCAGTGTCCCTTTAAAGTTTCTCAGGGCAATATTAACTTACCTGCATTGCATATGTGTTCTGTTTTAATTGAAATTGATGTGTGTGAGTTAGTGTGGCCAACACACCTTATTACCAGCTGTGTAATATTGCCTTAGACCAGGATTTTTCACTTACTGGTTCTCTGATAAATTAATATGGCCAACTCTGCAAGTTCAAAAGTCATGAAATACGCCTGCCAAAATCTTTTAATGTTTTGCATTTTATTTACATATGGGTTGTGAGACCAAATGCTTAGGTCACCTTGTGATCACACAGAAAAGCTACATAAGAGCTAGAAACGTAAGCCCTACACTTGCACACATGCTTAACTTTACCATTACTTGGAGTCAATGGGATTACTTAGAGTAGCAAAGTCAAGCACATGCAGAAGCAATTTCAGATTGAGATCTTACTTAAAAAAAAAAAAAAGATTCTCATGTAATTACTTGAGTCCATGTTATAGGATTTAATAAAAACAATAAATATGGCAAGACTTCACATAAAATGGAGAACTTGCAACGCTACCAAATAGATGGGCATGACAGAATTTGGCTCATGGTTGTGCACTTTTTTGTGATTAGTTGGCATCGAATGATGTGTTGTAGGTGTTTCCTCTGTGGAGAAACATAAATAAAATGTGGTGTGTGCAGACCCAATCCTGGACCATAGATGCTTCTAAGCCCTCTGGTATACTTGTTTATGGATTCTAGGGCATGCTTCCAGGCACAGACCTCTGGTTTCAGCCTTTCTTGGGGACTGGAACCCTGCAGTCAGACTACTCTAGATCCCCAACTTGCCCTAGATCTTTAAACCTCACAGGCAGCCAACTGCATTGACACATGTGACATTTCCCAAGTAGACCCAGGGTTGTGAGGCACTTGGTCCCCTGGACACTTTCAGTATTTGTGGATTTGTACCCCCCCCCCCCCCCCCCAGCTTGCCTGTTTCCCTTCAGCTTGCCACTTAACTCACTTTGGTATGTTTAGGGTGAAATCAAGTGAGAGTTTATTTAACAGGACACAGAGTCAAGTAACAGCAAGTAGATGTATTGGAAATATATAACATAAAATTATAACATCTCTGAAAGCCTATAGTTAAATTAACTAGGTAGCCTAATGTCTTATAAGGATTTGATGTGAGCATTAATCTACAATGCCTTAGAGCCAGGTTGGCTGGCACCCGTTTTATGATCAAGCACACTGTCAGCTTGCCTTGATGAAGAACCCTGTTTCCTTGCACACCAAGATATACCAGAACAATCTTTGTCTTCATTCATAAACAGGACCCCTTCTTCTACACCTCTTCCCCATGCCTCACCTCTCCTGCACACACACCTCCTCTCTTACACATAATCCCCCTGCCCTAGGTAATCATCCAAATCCTCTGCTTTCCCCCCACTCCCTTCCCAGGTCACAGCTCCCTCCAGACCCTGCACTCTCTCATGCACCCATACCTCCTCCTGGACCCTGCAACCCAAGCACCTGCCCTAGATCACAACCTTCTCCTTCACCCAGGCTCCTTTTCAGGTCCCACCCCCTCTCCCAGTCATCTACCCCGAGTTCCCTTCTGCACCCAACCACTGTGCCAGACCCTGCACCCCTTCCATAGAAAAGTGCCACCCTTGGTCACTCTCAAAATTCTTAAGTGGCCTCCTAAGAAAAATTGCCCACCCCGGTCTACACTCTGCTTGCCTGCCATTCTTCACAACATATTATTTTCTGCTACCTTGAACTTCTTTTTTTCCATCTCAATAAGACCCTCTGTTTCCAAACCATAGAGTGGGCAGGAACACACATAGCATATGCTTTTGTAATAGTAAAAGCAAATATGTAAAACACTGAAACAAATTCAATTAAGCAACCTGGCTGACTCCCAAACTTTACTCTTGAAAAGCTGGTGGGACTGCATGCCTTGACAATTTAAAAACAAACTCCAAAAGTAGATAAATAGCTTTTGTAAAGGATTGCCAGGGAAAACATGCATGAGTAGAAAAGGGTTAATTCTAAGTGGAGTATTGGCAGAAATTTGTCTTCCTTGGGCTGAATACAGAAATCCTTTGCCACAGAAAAGATTAAGCACAGTCAGGGCACTGAATGTGCAATACGGTTTGAATACACAAACAAGGAAATCTTTTTTTCCTATGCAACTTTAGGAAGACAGGTTGGCAGCATGGTCACCTACTGAAGAATAACACTGGCAAGAGAATTGTACTGTCATTGACATTGCTGATACTCTTCTAGGAACAAATCTCCCTCCACCCTGAAGGAAGTGGAGGCAGGGATCTGCTATTTATACTGCAATAACACCAATTCTTAGCTCTTACAGTGGTTTGCATCAATATGTCTCAAACTGCTTTATGGAAGAGGTCAGTATCAGTACCACCAATTTACAGATGGAGACACTGAGGATATATATAGGCACCTTAACTCTTAACTTAGATTGAGGGGAGATTTGACTGGACAACAGTGTTCCTTCTAAGAGTTTCCAACCATGAGCAGAGTGAGTTTTGGCTTGTGCACAAATATTAAGGTAAGGTTCTCTGGTTTTGATGTGTGCCACAAGGCACCCAATTTATTAACACACACACTCCTGGCTGCCAGAGCTGATACCCTCTCCCCCACCGTGCGGCAGATCCTGTTCCCAGCCACCAGAATAGACATTCCTCTTCCCCCCCGACCATGCGGCATGTCCCGTTCCTGGCCACCAGAGCAGACCCCTACCCCCGCAATACAGCGGATCCCATTCCCAGCCCCAGACACTAGAACGGGCCCTGGTCCTCCCTTCCGGCCCCCGGCTAAGTGGCATCCTCACTCACTTGAGCAGGCTGCCCCCTCCCTGTGACATCCCTCACCACACTGTCTCAGCTGGCTCCACCCACTGGAGCAGCTGCCTGACTTGCGAGTGCTGTTGTGCCACTCTCCAGACAAGGTGGGTGGGGAAAGAATTTTTTGTGCGTAGCAAAGCACTTTAACTGGAACTATGAGGAATCTTTCTCATTCTGGGTGAGTACCCTCTCCCTAGCTCTAGGTTATAAGAGGCATGGTATCATCCTTCCCGAGTATTTGTGGCATCAGGACCTGAAAACATTAGGTAATTCTGGGCTCTCAGTGCTCTAGAATCCTGTTACAAGAAAAAAACTTAGAGGAGAATTTAGTAACAGTGGTTACTGAGATCTGTGAAGAGTGAGACAAAATATTAATGTCTGTTTCATTTACCGGTGATGTGTGAATCCAAAACAATGCCATGTAGTCAGTTTTCTCCTAAGTACCCATGGAATCAGAAACATATGCATGAAAACTGTCATTCTTCACAGCTGTTTTTTTCATGGAAACAAAATATACTCCTTGTCATATTGAACACTTTCCTAAGCTTGCTTGAGAAATGTCAGAGAGCAACCATGCCTGCAATAGGAATGTTACATTTGGGCTCTATTGCATAAACTTTTCAGCTTTCAGTTCATTGTTTATATTGCAGAACTGCAATGAAGAATACAATTATTAAAGTTCAAAATTGGCTAGCCATTCTTTGGCATTCTTCCACCATGCTTGCCACATTTCATGGCATATAGAAGGAGCTAGGTATGCCTCAACTTAGTTCAAGATATTATATCAATATGGAGCACTGCTTTCCCTTTTTTTGGGGAAAAGGCAAAACGCTGAGTTTGTTAAGAATACAGTATCGAAGCAGCTAGCATATGTTTCATAAAGACAAGCTTTCCCCACCTCCCCACCCATACAGCGGTCCTGCAGATGGTTGTCGTGCCTCAAGTCTGTCTTGCTGGCTAGGCAAGGCTGACTGAGT